CGAGTGGAAGTGGGATGACATCTTCACAGACTTTGGATGTCATGTTCTGGGGAGAAAATTCAGTAAACTTCCCTAATATAAAGCTCATAGTACAAGCTCCCTAATCTGACAGATAGAAAGGAAAACTATACTGTATTTTAGTAAGTCACACCGGGATGTACTATCCCAGGTATCCTGTATGTGGGTTAATGATAGCTCTTATTTTTTACTATATGTCTTTTCTAACCCAGAGATACAAATATTGTAGCCTGGCCAAAAACAGCTAAAAGGGGGACCTGAAGGTGGTCTGGGCTTACAGAGGGAGAGGAGCTTAACACCAGAAAGGGAGGAAAATATGTTTTAACACTGCTGGCACAAGAACAAATGATGCTAAACCGGCTGTAAACACATTTATGCTGGCAACAAGAATGTGGGTGGCAAACCTCCCAGCAGTGAGGTTTTGCAACAGCCTTATGAGCAGCATAGAGGGCAAAAATCAAATGCATCCTCCCGCTTCTACCTTTTAATTGGTTTTAAGATTGATGAATTTGTGAGCAGGGGCATGGCTGGTTCTTGTGCTCAGCACATCCCTTCCCAGCCCGAGTCCCGCAGATCACCTTTCCCTGCCTACACCAGCGCGTGCCAGGGCACGTTCCCATGGGATTTATGAGGTGACACCGGAGTTGGGGGTTTAGGGACAGATGACATAAAAATTCTGAACACTGAAGGTCCAGCGACTGCAGGATTGCATGAGCTGTGGGTTGCTAAGCTCCTTTGCACGAAGAAAAATCAAATGGTTAGTGCATGCTGGTTTAATTCCTTCTGTGCTGCTGAGACTGACACTGGCATCGTGGTGGGGCAGCCATATAGTAGCGAGCATGCTCTCCTGTGCTGTTGGGTTTTTGCAAAAAAAAAAAGAATTTGAAATGTAATAATAACCTTTTTTATAGCTTTTTATAGTTTTATGGGAAAATACAGGAATTAATCCAGATGGCACCCAATCTCTTTATTAGCATATATAGGCAGAGAGTGCTTATAATACCAAACTGTATCTTTTTTATTGAACTGCTCTAGAAAGCCATTCTTCTGATGGATCACAGTTCTTCTTGGGGAGGAAGAGAGTTTCAATTATCCTGTGATACATGAAAAAACATTACTAGCGAGTAAACCCTCCAAAAATAAAACCAGGTAAGCCTCTTCCACTAAGGGTGGAAAAAAATCTGAGCATTCTGACTGAACTGCTCACTACAAAGGGATTTCACTGACGTTACAAGGCAGTAAAAGAGAAAACAAACTTGACCAATAAGCTGATCTTTTCACTGATCAAATTTGGTTTAAAATTTGGGGATCCCAATTGCCCCAAGAGCTGTTCAAACTAAATTAAACCATTTATGCTGGTGAATGCAGCAGAGATTCAAGTGCTGGGTGTCAAGAAGGAAACTGCTCCAGCATCAGTGGATGTTGGTACTGTGCGAGGGGCTTGCAGCCATTTGGGGACTGGCAGCTGCAGCTCCATCTCATTTGGGTGAACCAGCAGTTCCTCTTCCAAATTAAGAGGAAATTTCACATTTCCAAGGATTTCTGTGGGCCTGACAGTAGCACACCTTTAGATAATAGTCTCCAAAACCTGGCTGATATGAGATGGGCTCAGTGTAAAGACCCTATCCTCCACTAGTTAATGCCTTCATCATGTAAGCCACACATGATACATTGATGGGCTCTCAGGGAGCCGCTTCTGCCTTCAAATCGTAATTGTACATTTGTAGTGTGATTTGTAACGTGTCTGCCCCCTTTTAGTCTACGCTCTTTTATCCCCCTTGTGTCCCAGCCAGGATCCAAGCCAGGCTGGAGAAGTGGTGGGTTGGTAGCACAGTGAGATCAAAATGGTCCAGCATTGTATGTGGGATTTCACACTCAAACTATGTGTTTTGTGAAAGAAACGAACTTGCATGGCTTTGCTTGAGGCAATGAAAGGGGACTACTCCAATAATGTCTTTATTCTCCCAGATCATTCTCAGGAAGAATTGAAAAAAAATTGGAAAGTTTATCATGGGCTCCACCTGCCTCTGCCTCAGAAACACTCAGTTAACTCCCACAGCCACCCTCACAGAAACCATGGTCGCTGATCCCAACAGCCAAGTGCTGTAGCTGCTGCAAAGCCCGCATTTGCACAATTATGTATTTGATGTCCAATCTAAAAATACATCAGAAACATTACTAGATTGGATACCCAAGAACTGAATCATAGGATGTAGCAAATTTCATACAAGAGCCACCAGTTCAAACTCCCTTTGTCTGATTGTCAGTCCAAAAATTTTACAAATACTACATTCATTTTCACACCAAAATGAAAAAGAAAAAAAAGATCAAGGCTAGGAAATATATATCTCAGTTGTTACTTCTTACTCATGGCCCAGACAAAGTGAAATCCCACTGCCTTTTCAGTGGCTTGTATTTGGAATGTAAAGGAAGATAACACTACTCCTAAATCAACATCTGAAAGAGAAAACCAGCTTTTCGTAGCACCTTCTTCTGCACCCAAGCAGAGTAAAACTGAAATAGGCATGGAAATAAAATTTCCTTTCACACAAAGACCTGGGCTTTTCAGGACAAACAGATTATCCTGCCCTGAAAAAGATGTCTGTGGTCTTTGGCCGTCAGTCAAAAACCTTTATCAAATACTCAACGTGGTCCTCAACCAAGGGAAAGAAAAATCAAAATACAAAGAGGAAATACAGATTTCAGTTTGCAGTCTCAGCCTGGGATCTAAACAAGCAAGCACAATCTCCATCTCATTATCTTCACGCTGTCTTCATCACAGCTGCCCGAGCACAAGAGGACATCGCAGGGCGCTTTCCAAATCCTCCCTTCCCGCAGAGTCCCCCGTCATTGCTGCCGCTGTCAGCCCTGAGGCTGGAGCTCTGCCTGGTGCTTCGAAGATGCTTCTCCTGGCCTGTGCTGATCCACGGGTGTCCAAATTTCAGTTTACTTTGAGTCTATTTTTGGATGGGATAAATTTGAGGGAAAATATTTTAAAGGAAATGGAATGCTTCACGTTTGACTTCAAAATGACTGACAGATTGCCACTCTTTTTTTTTTTTTTGTTTCATCTGATCAACACAGTGAAATCAGGTGCCATAAAATACAGCTGAACAAGGTTTGTCATGAGGGACCTCGTGCAGCACCCGCCGCGGCACCTCCAGCCAGCAGCATCACCGCAGCCACTGCCCAAACTACCAAACGAGCAAAAAGGAGCTGCCCAAATCCCACGACGCTCAGAGACAGGATAGGACACGTAACGGGAGAGTCTGCCGCAAAAAAAACCCCCACGCTTCCACTCCTGGCAGGGCTCCCAGCAGCCTCGGGCAAAGCCGGCCCCTCCGAAGACAGTCACACCAAAAGCGCCCGAAGTGAAACCTCCAGGACGATCCCGCAGTTCCATGGCTTTCACGAGAGATCAGCGGGAGGGTACGTGTGAAGCTTTGGTTTCCACAAATCCTGAATTACGAGACACACCAACCTCCTAAGCAAAAATCTGCATCAGGGTCTCACCATACCTGACCTGGTCCTCCGTCCACAAGTAAAACCCAGTGCTTGCCAGTGAGAAATTTGTTTTTTGTTGTTTTTTTTTTTTTTTTAAGGGTGTCAAACCCCACAATCCATCCAGACTCAGAGCTCCCACCATCTTCCGAGCAGCCTTCCCGCCGTGGCGTGGGGAATTACAGACACTTACAAACCAGGGAGCCGACAGCATCCTCGGAAAGCTCCAGCCCCCGAGCATCACCAGTATGGACCATTATATCTCCAGACAACACCAGTTTATCAAGATAAAAACCAAGCCATCCCAGTCGCACCCATCTGGGGTGCACGGGCATATTGCTCAACAAACACACATACCACTTGGCATACCTTACCTGGAAAGAGGCTTTATTGAACATAGCTGTAAAATTATCTCTTCAGTTGAATTACTGAATTTGCACAAACATTTCTCTACAGAATAAAAAAAATCAAGCCTTGTCATTGTTTTACTGCATCTCGTTGTGCTTTTTATACTCATATTTGCAAATATTATACTCATTTCTTTGTTTGTTTTCATGTTTGTACTCCAATTACTTGCATATCAGGTTTTTTTAATCCTAGGGTGTTGAGAGAACACAGAATAATAATAATAATAATTATAATAATTATAATAATAATACTCTTCTTTAGACAAAAGTCTTTTTTTTTTTTTTAAATGAAGTTAAAAGCTGAGATAATTTAAGGAAAAAGGTCTTCAAATCGTCATAACCAACTGTAAGGGAACTTTACAATGCAGTGGAAAACCAGCTGGCTAACGGTACGTGTTCAGGTAGCTCAAAACCATTTGTACAGCTTTTATTCTTTTTGTTGTAAAAGTGGATTTTTTTTTTTTTTTTTTTAAATTTCGCTACAATAACAAAATAATCTTTCGCGATCTGCACAGAGTCTGGCTCCAGGGCAGAGGCACGGCACCCTGGGTGCTTCGCCGGCGCCAGGTTCGCAGCGAGCTCTGCGGTTTGCTTGGTGTCTCGGTACGCACTGCCGTCCCCCACGCACGCCTCCCCGTCCCGCTAACGCTGGGGCCGACTGCCTTGCGAATGGAGGTTAGAGTAAGAAAATCACTTCTGTGTTTTACCACCTTCTGCGCTAAGTGTATCTTAACAACCTTTTCCTCTGGTTGACCCACCTGATAACCTGAAAAAACAACAACGACAACAACAAAAAAGAGTGCTGCTCCCGTTTCCAGGACCAACAGAAGCTATTTTCTAATGGATAATAAGCTGAAAGGCCATGGCTGTCTGGAAGGTTAAACAACAAATATCTCATCCGAAAGGGCTTACGCAGCAGCTTAGGTCCATCCATCTCCAGAATCGGCTTCGTCTCCTTGCCTGCAGTCTGCACACCCAGGCTCCGTAGTTTGTTTAGAAAATAGTTTGCACAAACCACATTTTAGCAGTGCAAGCTTCTGTGTTGAAATTATTAATATTATTTTATTTTATTTTATTTTTTTTTTAAATCAGGCTTGTTTCATTGAAGGCACTTGGTTTCCATGGCAATTTATAAAAGACGGTGGTTTGGTTTCTTCACTTCATTAGAACAGATGACTTAGTTGGGGAGGGGAGAGGGGTGTTCGAGTGGCCGCAAGCAAACTCCGATAAGCCTGTGTAATATGTAAGCCCAGGTCGCACATCCTGGATAGTAATGCATGCAAAAGGAGACAGCATACAGTTATCAAGCATAGCCATGAGAAATGAAACATAAATGTCTTAAAACAGCTCTGATTTAGGGTTATTCTCTAGGGGAGGTGACAGCCAAAGTAGAAAGGGCCTACAATTATTTAACTCTATACTAAAAACCTTCTTGAAGGGAAAATGAATGCCAGCTCTTCACATACCCTGTTTACAGTGAGGTGTTTCTCTCTCTCTCTCTGTTTTTGTTTTTTATTTCCTCTCTCTCTCCTTCTCTTTTTTTTTTTGGCAGGCCATTAGGTTTCCATGGTAACAAGCAAACTATTCATTTGAAACAAAACCAGCCATGACTTTGTGCTTTGACAAGGGTTTCTATAGCTCTTTTCCGAGAGTTCAACCAGATGATCCTGTATTCATTATTGACCACAAAAGCACCTGAAGGTCTCTTCCTTACTTAGGCCAGATCTCGTTCTCACGTGTGGTTCATAGTGAGTTACACTCCCGTGATGCCTTTTATGTCCCCAGTGCTTTTTAATTTTTTTTTTTTATTTATTTATGTATTTATTTAACTTTTGAGTCAGTCAGTGGAGGAATCTTTGGTAGTTTGTTTTTAAATGTCCATTTTACAAAGACTCTTTCTTCATGCCAGTGCCTGGTGAATCTTTTGTAGCCTCTGCCAGGATAAGGTCACCTCTGATGACTTAAGACAGACATGAGGATGATAACTGGGATAAGTCGTATATGTGCTAATGTCCCAACAGCACCTGATCGTAAATCTACAAAAAGGGTGGAAAAAGGTAGAATTAAAGAGCTGCCCAGACACAGTCGGCATTGCTACAAGGCTTAGAAGATAAACGGCTCAGCCCCCACGACCTGTCCTGCACATCACCATGGAGGCAGCTGGGGAGGACAACGGGATGGTGCTCACCTGTCTGTCTCCGCTTCTCCCACTGCGTGCTACCAACCTCCCCTGGTCTCTGCTAGGGAAAGCACTCTGCAAGGTCACCTCCTACAACGAGGGGACGAGAAGGGCACTCGCCAACTGAGTGAGGCAGGAGACGTCGGGATAAAAAAACCACCTGGCTGCGTAGTGAAGGTCTGCATTGTATTGCACGCATGGGGGTGGAGGGATGAAACAGGGTCCACAGGGAATCACAACATCGATATTCATTAATTTCATGTTGTTTGGACCCCCTCAACGTTTTTTGTAATGTTGCTTTAACTTTCTGCCCATCTTGAACCACAGGCTGCCCAGCCCAGCTCCACCATGGAGTGCAGCCCACTGCTCTCGCCTCCACCTAATGCCCATCAGCCCTTCACTTGCATCTCTGCTAAACCAGCATTTTCGTATCTGAACAAAGACATTTTGACTCCAGAGCTTGCTTCCAAGGAAAATGTTTCACTTCAAGCCTCTCCAACTGAACTGAACAATATATTGTTCTCCTGGAGAAAATCCATTTTAGAAGGTGTCTCAAATTTATAACCACAAGAAGGAATTTGCTCTCTCCCACGTGTGGAAGAGCCACTTACTGTTGGCCGGTTGGTCTGATTTCATACACTCTCCTTCCACAATTGATACATCATCAATAGCAATATCACCTTCGATGCCAGGACCTCGGATCCCTTCAAATATGAGCTGCAAAAAAAAAAAAAAAAAAAAGCAGCAGCAGATCAGAGGGTGACAAATGGAAAACGTTCAGCTGCATTTTGCATGGCATTAAACTACGTCGATGGACTTGGAATAATTTACAAACACTTTCTATGGTGCAAAAAACTGTAACTGAGTTCACACGTACTTGTAAGGTGAACACAGAGGATGTGTGAGCGTGGAGGCTTTTAATCTTCAGAACAAGCTAAAAAATATCAGAGCTGCTAGTTGTCTGCCTAGTTGTCTACCTGGTGTCTCGAGGTCAGCTTTGCCACTATGCTAACTGTAATGTGTGTACTTATGTAAGTGTGATATTCCTGAACCAAAGAGCAGGATTAAGCGGAGGAAAAGTTTTAAAGAGATTTGGGGTGTTTCTCCCAGAAACTCAGGCCACCTGAAGCGAATGGCAGAGGCACAGCTTGAAGAACAGCATCTCCTGCAGGTAGGAGGAGGACAGGAGCTGCCCCCCTGCCACCTTCCCCTGGCCTGTGAAAGCTTGGGAGAAACCTCTCAGGAGCCAGGTTGGTGTCCCTTCACCCGTAACGCAAAGCTATATTTATCTCAAGGGGTCAGGAAGGGACTGCCTTTGATTCAGATCCCCTGAGGTCCCACGGTGATCTCCTGCGATCACCTCGGTGGATTTTAACCTCCCAGATCTCCTGCCGTGGCAGGAACTGACGACAGCGACAGCCCCGCTTCTCTCCTGTCCCTTATAGTGGCTCATCATCATGTCTAGAAGCGTTGATCCTTTCTAGGAATGGTTTTATATTTACCAGAGGACATTGTGATGTATTTTATCACAGAGAGGGTCAGGGTAGAGATTTTATTCCTGTTTAAGGCTTTAACCTCTGCTAAACGGATGCCTGTGATTTCAAGGTCCTATTAATCACTTTCTGTCAAATATTCCTAGTCTGAAACCCCAACCGCTACAGCTGGGAAAGCAAACGGTGCCTGTATGGAGATGGGTGGCTTGTTGCAAGGTCAGTAATATTATTTGCTGTAATGTTTGTTATTAGCTATGGATTACTATTGTACTAAAGAAACAAAGTTATCCGCTCTCGTTCCCCAAACCCGATGTGATGCTGTCCTGCCATAGTGCTGCTTAATTAGCTTTGCAGAAGAGTGGACTTATTCTGTGTTACGAGAAATTTATTCAGTAGAAAACTTCAAAGCCTTTCTAAAGAGATGAAGGAATTATGTAAGGAATGTATTTCCCAAGCAGCACCATTTGAACAGTTATCTCTCCTTTCCCTTTTTTTCCCCTCCTCGGTCCTTTGAAATATTTTTGGTTAACGTAGATGACAAGTTTTTTAACTTTAATCTGCAACAATATATGCATGAAATTCAATGAATTTTATAAGGGTGTGCTGTGGCACTAATGGAGACATTAACTGTTAGGGGTAGAGTCAATTTGAAAAAAAATATTAATTCCATCTGGAGCAAAATACTTAAATTACACTTCATAATGATCAAACTGCATCAGAGAGATGTCTGGGGCACTCAGATGGGCTCTCTCTGTTGTCATTGATTTCAGCAGGACACAGATCCGAGCCTCTTCTTTTGGCAGCTTCTGACATTTCTTTGCTCATTAATGCAGTTCAACCAGAGCTGCTCATTTGAAATGAATACCTTTCATTATAAATGATGAGTAAACACTCAGGGCAGGGGAAGATGACCCTGTAAATCACAGGGGTTCAGTAGCGAGTCCAGCTGAACGAGCATCACCCAAGGGCCGTATCACGACGGTGCACGGTGCCGCCAGACGTCGCATTGCACACGCAATTCTCGGCTCTGCTTTTCCACGGAGGGCACATCCCTCAACCTTGGCCACAGACACATCCCATCCTTTGCTAAGCTGAGCATCCCCAGTAGGTGCCTGACCCTGCAGCGGTAAGCTGGCAATATAAGGCGTGTATTTACAGCCTGCCTATTGTATCCTAAGCCAGGCGGCAAGGTCTGTGCTGGGAGCACTAAATAAACGTGAAAGCTGTGCGTTTGGAGCAGGAGACTCCATCAGTATTTTACTGAAGTGCGATGCTGTAGGTTAATTACTATAACAAGGTGGATATTAATGCAACAGGGAACTGTAATTGGGAAAACGGTAAGTTTTTCCATAATTTACCCTGTTGTCTGAAAACAGTGTCTCAAGTAATTATCCCTCTGACAATTTTTTGACTCTACCTCTGATGATGGGAAGTATTCAGCTCCAGAGGAAAGTGTCTTCTCTTCTCCCCCAATGTACAGCTTGCCTTCCTGCTCCTTGGCAGCAGGCATATAACCAGTCAATGGATTTTAAAGTCAAATCTTTCCTGATAATGAAAAACACTGTTTCCAGACAAAAGGACTCTATACAAATACAACGGCCAGCATTTAATTAAAATCTGCATTTGGCAGTGCATTTTATGGGCCTCAGAGACGGGTTGCTATTAGCCAGCTTGGCCACATGCTCAGAACAAATCACCGCAGATGAGTGTTGGCAAGGCACGGAGCACAATCCAGCCTGCAGTTCACAGCTATTTGCAGGAGGTGCCAGATGATCAGAATCCCCTATCAGTATCCCACAAAACCTATTATCTGCATGTCTGTGACTTTACAAAACTGTTGTCAAAAATACCGCATTTAGCTGAGGAACAGAGGGGCTTATGCACGCAGCAAAGGCCACTCTGCTCTCTTAAACAGGGGAAATGGAAATAAGCCCCTACGGTGCCTCCAGAGTTATCCCAAGTGTCTCCGGGGGATTCAGCTTGTGCTTCTTCAAGAGGATTTCAGACAGATTTTACCTTCCTGGCCAGTCTCCTGATAAGAAGTAGAGAGGAGCCTCGTGAATGTCCCCCGCCAGCCAGAGTGATGATAAGGGTGTAAGACCCTCACGCTCCCCGTAAGGGGCTGAAAATCCCAGTGCTCCAGCAGGGTCATTTACTTAAGGGCAGATCAGGCCCTCTTTTTCTCTTTTTGCCAAAAACATCTTTGACACAAGAAGGTGTCGAAGAAATTGTAACTGAAGGCGATGGCAGTGGTCCTGCTCAAATCTGAACTAGAACTGACACCTTCCTAGATACCAGTGTGCAATGTATCACTTCCACGTGCTCTCCTTTTTTTTCCCTGTGTTTATTCTTTAAAAATACTTAATAAGTGACTATCTTACTGACATAGCTTTTATGCAATACTTTTTCTGATTCAAAGCACTGTAGTCCTCTCAGTTCTTCATGACAGAATCTTTGTTATATATCACAGGGACTGGGAAGGTATAAAACAAATCTGGGCTGCACTTTTACCCATACAAATTAACCTATAAAAAGTTTTAATTTCTGTGTCAGTGTACTGTTTTACTGCAAAGATTCACTTCAGTTCACTCTCCTTAAATTTAACTGGGAGGTTTATATTCTTTCCTGCTTAGACTCCTAAATGGAAAATAAAGTTTGCTTGATGCAAGAGCTGCTAAAAAAGTAATTTAAGGTTCCAACCACTCTGACATTTATTTGTTATATTTGTGCAGAGCTTCACGGCTTTACATTCATTTTATGTTGAAGCCTTTAAACGCAACAATGTAAAAGGTGAAAAATAGCCAAGCAGAGGAGCTTCCATTTTGTGCACCAGCTTGTGGCACCAGCGAATACGGTTTTAAAGCAATGCGACTGGGTGCACCAGTAGCAGAAGAGACCCCTGTAACTTTTCCGAAAGCAACAGGGCCCTGTGCAAGGGCTGATGCTCAGAGTCCTCGGTGAAAGCAGCAACCAGGGCACCAGGAGCTGCTGGCCGTGGCTCTGGGTGCTCTGCCAGAGCATCACCCCAGATGGTCCCCTGCAAGGCGAACACCCCAGCCTGCCCTTCCACCCAAAGCCATGCCTTCTTTCTGCGCTGATGAGGTGACCCCAGGTTTGTACCCCGTCACCCTCCTCCTCTCCTCTGCATTGCTAGTGCCATCTCCTTTGCATCTCCCTGCCCGGAGCTGATGTCCTCGTCCTTCCCCTACTTCTGCTAGAGCCCGTCCCGGGTCTCAGGAATCCCTCTCAGACAAACCTGCGATCACTTTGGTTTCAGCTTTCCCAGCCGTCTCTTCTCTCCCTTTACCAGTCCATTTCTTACGTTTGGACACTAAATGGTTTTTCTCTCCTTCACTGTTCACACTTCTTGGATTTATCCTGACTTCACCAATGCAAGGCTCACCCGCTCTGATCAGCTCCCTCGTACTCGGCCCCCACGCTCTGAGGGTACTTTAACACTCGTACCTCTCTTCTCTGCCCAATTCTGCCACTTTGTTCCACTCAAACATCATGTAATGTTATACTTCACATATCCCTCTCCTTCAGAAGTTTTCCTCTAATCTCCCCCCGCGCAATGCTTATGCGATCAGGTACGTCATATAATTTCTCTTCTGTCACTGCCTCTCACGCATGGAAATAAGAAGAAAGGGTCAGAATCAGTAACTACCCATAAAGCGAATCCCAAGCTGCATGTTTAAGATAGCAGTTCTGACTTGCACTGAATGACTCTTTTCCCCAAAAGCCATTATCTCCCCCAGGGGACCTGGAGGTGACAGAGAGGGGACAGAGGAGCCTGGAGAACATTGCACCGCGGGGCACAGCTTGTGACTCCTGTCTTCCATGACGATACTCCCAGCCTCAAACACACGAGGGCTTGCTGGCGGCAGCTGCCTTTTTGGGTCTGTTCCAGTTACAAACAGCTGAGAGCGTGAATGAGAACTGCCCATAATAGTCTATCAGCATCTCACTGTCAAACCAAAAATGAAATGTGTGAAAACCTGTCATAACTTGCATGCGCCTAGTGAATGAGGCGTGCGGCTCTGCCGTACCAGGAGCTCTGCGCAGGCCACACTGCTGCTTTGGTACCTTTCAGCAAAGACTCAGAGATCATTCCTTTTTCTGCAGAAAATGCATGTATTTCAAGAGACCTCTAACACTGGCACTGTACCGTGGACCCTAAATATTTTTTTTGCAGGAAGTAGTTTTGTATTCCAGTTGCTAATCTGAAATAAAAATACGTTTTATATTGGCTACCAGCATCTTCTGAAAACTGAAAGACATTCTGTTTTCAAGCAAATAGCTGCTGTTCTGCCACTAAAATGTGCATTATTAAGCTCTATGGTGCTCACCTATTTAAAGCAAGGAAGGCAATTATCTGTCCATAAAGCAGCTTTCAGAGCTGAAGTGAAGCTGTGAAATCCTGTGTCAGAAGGAAAGGGTCAGCGTACACAGGCCCCCCCTCCGAAAACCAAATACTCCCGTTCCTGGTGTGCGATGCACAAGCCATTACCTGAAATGAAGTTGGGGGGTTTATATTAACGCGGGCTTGGTTCCAGTGCTGTCCCTTATTTCCACTTGAAGACCACAACGGGTTCTCTATCGCGGTCTGACCTTTCAACCGCAGGTAAACGTTCAAACTTCCTAGAAAAGAGGTGGAGAACTGGAATTGGTTAGGCTCTCTGATGGAGGAGAGATGCTGGGCTGCGCACAGCAGCAGTCCCCTGCTCACCCCCCCCTTCCCATTTTGCACGGGCCTCTGCTAGGTCCGAGTGGACGTGGAGAGTTGCTTGTCATAAATTCAAAAACTTTTCAACTTGGGCACACTGCGAACTGGCAATGTGAATTCTCAGCAGAGGGAAATGGAGGGTGCGGGGAGCACCCATTGCTCGCTGCCACTCAGGAAGGACACGAGGCTTCCCAGGGTGAGATGGGCAAAAAGGAGTTTTCGGTGCTTTTCTGCAAACGAGGCATTTATAACCTCCTTACCGAAGGATGAATAAGCGACTTGGTTGCTTTATGCTTAGCTTTTGCTTATAAAGGCTGTCCCACTTCTTGTTTACTCTGTACATCGTTTAACTAATGGAGTGCCATAGAGCCTGGCAAATCTATCTCACAGATAGATGTGATGCCCTTGCTCCTGCTAAGGAGTACTTTGGAAGGACAACATAATCCTCTGAGTTAAAATAACCTCAGCAGAGTCTCTCACTATGGAGAAAAAACCCAGAGACCCAGGTCTTTCCCCAGTGCTGACCATTATGTTACTGGTTCCAGCACAGGCATTATTTGCAACAGGTAACAGATCGTCTGCATTCGGCAGCCCTTCTCTCTGGTTAACCTCACTGCCTCAGACCATGAACAGAAACCAGACTGTCCTGGTGCACCAAGAGACAACAAATGCATCGACTTCGTTTATCAGGGTTCAGTAATTCACATAGTTTGGAGATTTTGGTCCTTCTTGCCCACCACTGTTATCTGCAGATGTGTGGGGCAGTGGTCTCTTTGTACTATGTAAATCATTGCATTTGCCTTCATTCAAGAAAGTTCAGACAGTCAAGTTCACATAAGACTACTGTTTTTTTAGGGTGTTAGGCATGGCAGCTGGGAAGCTCATACAAATTATATTTGCAATGAAACCTCTCAGATCTGAGGCAGCTGCACAGTGACTCAGCTCCTGCTAATAAAAAGTTCTTATTTCTAGCAACAGCAAAACTCAGTGCCTTGAAAAACATAAGGCTAGACGTGTAATGGAGCAGCAAATATTCTCATCACGGCTATTTCACCAGGGTGCCCAGAATGAGGCCATACATCTTCTTTGAAGGAGGTGGGGGAAGCGATGCTTGCTGGCACGACTGGGCGGCACCGTGTCTCCCACCTGCCTCCCACTGCAGCATTTTATTTTTCAAATGCAGGGGAGGGTGCAGAAGCAGCACAAAGGAAACACGGCTTCTAACGAGGACATTCTGTCTCTTCCTACATGCGCCCTACTGGGTAAAACAAAAAGACCTGAAACAGAAAGGGCTTGCAAGAAGGGAGATGCTCAGGAGGGTTCCCTGGAGCAGCCCTGCAGCCCAGCCCAGCAACACGTCGCAGGGCTGTGCGGGGCTGCTCACAGCAAGCGGCTGCTCAGCCTCAGCCCTATTCCAAACAACAGCAACGGCAGCTCCTGGGCAAGGTTTGTGCTGTTCAGCTACAACAGTTCTCCCTTCCTTCCCATCTGCTTCTCTCCAAGACTTTTTTCAACAACCGTGCTGAGTCTACGGTCTGAAAAAGGCAGGGTCTTAGACAAGACTACCTAAAGTTATAAAATAGAGTCCTATGTAATGTTATTTTTCTAAAAGACAAAAAGCAATGCTCATATCAAGCAAGGGATTAATTGCTGGCTAATTGTTTCACCTGTTTGTGCAGGCTGATACAGCCCATGCTGCAGGGCTGTTTGGAATAACTGAATAATTCAGGTATGAAAAGCATGTAATTCCACCAGTGCTGAGGTTAGAGATTTAAGTTTGTTCATAGCATACTCAGCCTCTCTGTGTCACACAATTTCTTCAAATTAATAGCGGAATGATAGCAGTCTTACTTAAAATACAAAATAGCCATGACTCTGCCAGATATGCTCAGTCGTTGCCCAGCACGTTGGTTAGTGTGGATGTACCTGCCTGACCCCCATCGCTAGACATGCACACACACCTGACTAAAACGTCGCTGAAAACTTAACTAATGACATCTGCAACAGATGCTGATCCTTGAAATGCTGCCAGTAAGGTTTTGGAAAAATTACATGACCTTTGCAAAGCTGATGCTGTGGGAGAGGATGGGTTGGCTATAGGGTTCACGCTGAGGTGTGTCCAGCAAGAATTCATCTAAAGATTTCAAACTATTCCAAACTCTAGACAAATGGGTAATGAAGTGACTCTTGAGTAGGAGACAAAAACAACAGGCAGGAGTAACAACTGTGAATTAAGGAATAAAGTTTACTTTCTGACAGCGCCCTGCCAAGAGAGTGCAGGGTGCTTCGGAGACGTCGCCAGCTGCAGCACTGGGGTGGCATTCTGGGCGCTCATCACTGCGCCAACACAAGCAGGTTTCACAGTGTGCTCTGACAGCATGTTCTGCTTCCACTTTTTGTTTTGTGATGGCTCTCTAATGACAACAAAAATTGTTCTTGGAGCATGAATTAGAAATGCCCCTTTTTGGGGTGTAGATGGAAAAATTGGAAATACAGATTGTTTTAGAAGATGGTGACAGCTGTAATAGAACTACAACCTCTTTCTGTCTCAACATAGAGACACGACAAGGACAGTGACTCTTCATTTTCTTCTCCCCAACAATGGCTTATTGTGTGCTGCAAATCAAGTAATGGGAACTTCTATTTCTCTTACGCTTTAGGGATAATCTACCTTCTCCTTTTGAAGGATGTGGAGCAAAGCACGTGCAGTTTCTCTGGCAGCCAGCACTCTCAGAGTTAGCTCTATGTGATCTGTCAGGAATTACAGCCTGACTTGTAAGTAAGAGCCATCTATTTCAGGTAAAGAAACACTTTATCTTCCTGAATCTAACTGCCATGGCATGGGATGTAGGTCCTTGTTTATCTCGTCAGAGCTGTGCTGTAGCGTGAGTGCTAATCTCAGATCTGTGCTCTGCTCTCTGCAAAGACTCCCAAGTACCTCTCCTTATCACTACAGAAATTTTCAGACTCTCCTCCAGAGACACCAAAGACCTGAACAGCAGGCACAGAAGCTGAGCTGGATAAACTGGTAGGCTGTTTTTTTTCAATGTAGTGCAACAGGCATATTCTCAAATTGATGTCACTGGGGTCACTCGTTTTTAAGAATGGAGGATGAAGTAGCTTTTCCCCTAAGCCTCCAAGACCAGTCCACACCAGCAACAGAGCATCATTCCAGGATGATATTCCATTTTATTAGAGATCCTTCAAAACCTTGTCGGAAACGGAGAAACATTGTGATGAGCACTGAAACTGTTTTGGAAACAAAGTACTTTGTCCCTGAGACATGGGAATAATAACCCTAATACTGCTTGGAAATCTTATGGATACTTATAACTATGGAGAATAAAGCAATCCAGTGGAAATGCACCAAAGTCTGCTGAACAAAGCTACAGCATTTTGGATGAAAACTCAAAGGTTAATGCCCTTGCATCTTCTCTGAACATGCTGTCCCCAGGTCCAAGGAAGGAAAAGGCTGGAATTTATTTAAGCCAAATTCCCCTGAGAGACACTTCCAGTTTTCAATTAATTCAGCTCAAGAATCAGCAGCTCACAGTTATTCCAGGGAAAGATCCTACAGCACAGAGATCATATACGAAGTCTCAGGTAGCAGCTCCTATCCTGCTGTTGTGAAGAAATCAGTGAGCCGGCAGTGCATATTATAGCCGATAGCTGCCCCGACTGGCAGCGCTCATTCCCAAATAGGGATGAGAAGCACCTTCTATATGTTGGCTGCAAATTCCAGAACAGCGGTGAAGGGTCAAGGCTTCTAACAGCTTGTGATAAAACAGTCCATCTGTTTTAGCAGTAAGATTTAGAATTATCCACAGGGGATTAATCCTTAATAAAATCTAACTCTCCTGAAAAAAAAAAATATTACCAATTAAATATTTCCCACAGAATCCTTGAGGTTGTGAGGCGCCTCTGGAGATCGTCCCATCCAAACCCCTGCTCAAAGTGTGGTAGATCAGAGCAGGTTGCCCAGGACTATGTGTAATCGGATTTTGGATGTCTCCAAGGACAGAGACTCCACAACCTCTCTGTGCAACCTGTGCCAGTGCTTGACCGACTTCACAGTTAAAAAAAAAAAGGTTTTTCTTACATTTAAAAGAATTGCCTCTATTTCAATTTGTGCACATTGCCTCTTGTCCTGTCCCTCAGCATCTCTGAGCTCCACCTTCTTTACGTTCTCCCTGCAGGTATTCACATACATTGATGAGATCCCCCCGAGTCTTCTCTTCTCCAGGCTGAGCAGTCCCAGCTCTCAGCCTGTCCTCATGTGAGACATGCTCTCTCCAGTAAGCCCATGTCTCTCCCGTACTGGAGGGCCCAGCACTGGACCCAGCACCCCAGCTGTGTCTCACCAGTGCTGAGCAGAGGGGCAGGATCCTTTCCCTCGACCTGCCTCCTTACCACAAAGGTGCATCATCTGAAACACAAAAGGAGGCTGAGGGGAGACCTTATCGCTCTCCACAACTACCTGAACGGAGGTTGTAGTGAGGTGGGGGTCGGTCTCTTCTCCCAAGTAACAAGTGGTAGGGCAAAAGGAAAGTTGTGCCAGGGGAAGTTTAGATTGGATATTAGGAAAAATTTCTTCACCAGAAGGGTTGCCAGGCATTGGAACAGGCTGCCCAGGGAAGTGGTGGAGTCACCATCCCTGGAGGTGTTTAAAAGTCGTGTAGACATGGCACTTAGGGACACGGTTTAGTGGTGGACTTGGCAGTGTTAGGTTAATGCTTGGACTTGATGATGATAAAGTTCTTTTCCAACCTAAACGATTCTATGATAAGGTTTGATTAAACTGGGCAAATCATTGTGTTATAATAAACCCTTTCCTAACCCAAAGTAATTTCTAAGATCACAAACCTTTAAAACCTCATTCAAGTAGTTACCTCATCAATACAACTATTCATACAATAATCATGGGCTTGAATCATTGAAGTCTTAGAATTTCACCACTCATTCTTTTCTCTTCATTATCCTCATGTGAACAATTTCACAGTGACAGTTCACATCCAGATAATGAAATGGTATATATTTGCTGCTTTCATAATTTATTTCTTGTATGCCTGTTGCATTCTCATGTGTTTCATAACATTTTGTCATTATCAGGATTTAAAATTTTGAATATAGTAGACATGTATAAGTGTGTGTTCAGACCCATGGCTGATGCTATTAATTTACTATTTTTCTGTCAGTCTGCTCTTTAAAGACAGAATAATATGTAATTTTGTACAAAGCTATCCAAAAGTAGATAATTTTGAACACCAGCTAAAATGATGGTAACCATATTTTTTAACATTAAGGAACAAAACTGGTATTGAGCAATTTTGGTTTTCGACAACTAGGTGTCCACATTGCCATGAACAAATCCTATGTAACTGTGATCACTAATCATCACTGTCACCATCTTCACTTGTGGGTCAGCTCCTTCATGAGCCAGCAGTATACATGTCGATTCAAGAAATTACACATAAACAGGAAAGGGTGATTTCAGCAGAAGAAGCTAAGGACACGGGCACTTGCTGAAAAGGTAGCCCAGGAAAAAAACCAAAATTGCACCTATGAGACGTCACTGTTTTGTGAACAGACGTCAGCCTCAGTGGCTGTTTTTCTTATACTTTATCCTAACCTTAAGGTATTCCAGAAAAACTCTTTGACCCTTTATGTTTGTAACTTTGCTCTTCACTGTCACATACCAGAAATAGGCTGGTATATGACCATATAGGGCAGTCTATATTTTTTTCACTAAGCATGGCATGGCTCAATCGCTTCCTTCCAATAAACAGCCAAGCTCCTGCTGCAATGTAGATCCAGGAGAATTTAGACCTGAGTCTGCATTCACATACTCAGCAGTGCAGAGACAACTAACCAAAAACTAAGTGAACTTGTCTGCTCTATTTAAAACCTGACCTCTGCCTGGAGGCAGGTGAAGGTTTCCCGAAGCAACCACCAGCATGTACTGTGAGGATGTGCTTGCCCTTGAAATATATATAAAAATATATCAAGTCAGATCAGCTTGGCACTGGAAAAGCGTCTTGACACACTGGTTAGCACCAAGCACCCCACAGGGATTTACAGGATTTATAAAAATCGGCTCTCTATCGTTTATACTGTTATATTTTCCCACACCTTTTTTTCATACTATGCAAAGAAATTAAACGTGTGTGTTGAAAGAGCTATGACTAGAAATAGACTTACAGATACACCTTGAAAATATATACTCCCACAGCTTGTGAGTGAATTGTTCATGACTTTTACAAAGGAACCGTATGCTGCTGCATCACACACAGGCTGTGCCACTCCAGCTGCCAGCACATGAGGAGTGCTCCTGCTAATTGCTTGATCCTGAATTAGTGAGGAGGGACTCAAAACACTGTTTAGTATCAAGCAAAGTCCTTGCAAATATCACCTTTTCTGTTCTCATGCTCTAAAGTTCCCTGCTCAAAACCTCATGCGTGCACAAACCACTTCCCAGCTGTAAGAGTGGCTCCTGCTAGCATGCTGATTAGTGGAAAACACAGTTTTACAGCAATTAGGGGCTATCAGGCACCTCTCTTGCCAGCTTTGGTTGCAACTGGCCCTTGCAGGTGTTGGCAGTCGTCCCGTGCTTTCGTTTCATGTGAGTGGACATTTCTCCTGCTATTTCTCCCAAAGTGAAAAGACAAGGTCAGTGGCTTTCTCTCACCTATGTGCTGTCCATACATGTGATAGTAGAAGCTAAAACAATAGGCTGTGTTCGTAGCTCCGTAAGGATTTTTTGGAGCAACACTGAAAACAGGACTAACAAGTCTGGCCTTTTCTCCTTCCAGCCTGGGGCGTGATGTCTCAATGTACATGTAGAAACCTAGGGGAAGTCCAAATGGAAATCATTAGGTTGCAGTCTTCAAAGTCCAACTCATATGCATGCAGGAAGACACCAGGGCTATCAAGAATCTTGATTAATTTTTCATATTCATCTGACATCACCATGGTTTCTGGGACATATTTCTTCTACATTAAGCCCAAGTCCTTTCCACAATTGCTTCAAAGACATGTTTTCTACCAAGAGTAAAATCAGGGCTAGCAGGTCAGTACTCATAAACAACTTCAAATAAATGTAACATTGTATATGCACAAGAAAAGAAAAAAATCTTTATGATGGGGTTCAGACTTTGGTCTCAAGGTTGCAATTTGTTCCTATAAGCAGTGAGCGAGGACAACTTTTAAAATAAAAGGAAAATATCTTGATGGAAACCTTTCAAGGAACATTCTCAACTGGCCATGTCAATCACATGTTTGAAAGCTCACTTTCATTAAAGAAAACAATATTATTTTGTTCTGATCCTGGACTGTGCCAGCAACAGAGACAGTATTGACTTAATCCAACTAAGCAAATACAATGCAGTATGATTTTTTTCCCCTTTGGTAGTGCAAGCAGGGGGCATACAATAAAATAGCATGAGTTACTGCAGTACTTGATAAATTCAGCACAATACGTCTGACTTTTCAAATGCAAATATACACTACAGTCAAGATGGCACGCTTCTGTTAACTGGGGTAGCAGATTGAAAATTACACATTTTAGCAACACCCAAAGTAAAAATGGGGCAAAAAAAATCTCATTGTGACAGTCTGAGAGAGTCCAAGTTAGAATTTAAATGACATAAAACAGAAGAATATTTCAAGATGTGCCAGAATATTTCCCCACTAGACTATAACGTGAAAGCAATCGCTTTGAAAATGGCACAATAGAAACAATACAAGATGGTTAATGGCACCATTAGTGGGTTGTGCTTCGGGACCAGCCACACATCTCAGCATTGGCAATTTCTTTTAGAAGTCCTTGAAGTATGGTTATTCTTGGTATGATCAGGAAAAACGATGTAGCTGGCTGAATTGGCTGTCCTGGACAGGTCCTTCATCCCAAGGGAGCAGCAGAGCTCCCAGTGCTGGGGGACCAGGCACACTGCTGGGGCTTACCTTCCTTGGAGCCAGTCCGATCCGCGTTTGGCCCCGTGTTCGGGGTGTATTTTGTGTCTCTAGTGGCAGTGCTTTGTTTTGTCCAGTCGAAATTGTCCGTGTCGTCTTGAGTGAAAAGGCAAATGTTACCATCCTCAAACCCACAGTGGAACTCTCCTGCCAACGCAGAAAATGAGCAGAAATTTAGCAGCTGAAACTATTCATCCCATGCTACTTTGTCAAAATACTTGTCAATTATAGCAAACACATTGTGGGATGATGCTTATTAACAGCACTGGAAAATAGACATACATTTATTTTACGTCAGTTTTCAGCCTTTAGTGTATGTTTTCTTTTGCAGTAACCTCAATGAAAAAGAAATCACGGTCATCAGTCTGTGTTGGTGTTACTTGAAATTACATTCAAATCTTATTGTATACCTCCTTCTCACATATTCAGATGTATATAATTGCCCTTAGAGACACTGTCTCTTCTTACCCAGCTAACATTTCTAAAAAGCTGAGAAAAACGGGCAGCTTTGTCCATAAAACATGAACTATGAGAAAAAAAGTGAGACATGGGTTATTTTGGTTTAGGGTAAGAACGTTAGAGAAAAGAGGACAGCAAAAAAAAAAAAAAAAAAGAGGACTTTTCAAAATGAAAACATTATCTCCAAGTGACATCTCCTAAACTATTCTTGGTTTTCAATAGGGATGGGAAGGGAAGTAATGGCTAAAATGACAGCAAAGGAGCTTTAGGGTAGACATGACAATCTCTAAAAATCAGGACAGTGAAGCACATGAATGGATTGCTCAGGAAGAGCATTGAGTCCCAGTCACTGGATTATAATAACCAATTAGACAAATACCTGGGAGGAAGGTTTAGCTCTATCTGAACCTATATGGGCAGGACAGGTGACTGTATCATCTCCTGAAGACACCTCCTAGACTTTCACTAAGATTTCTGTTATGTACTTGAGGTCAAGTGGTAAAAGTTTAGGTCTAAAGAATAAAAATGCCAAGAACCCCAAAGAGGATTACTGGGATCCTCTCCTTTGTGAAACAGAGGTCCATGAGACACACCAGTCCAGTGATCCTGCCTGCTGGGTGATGACGGGATGAGAAAGTCCTACTGTCAGACATTTAGGAACCAAAATTAATCAAAACTTCAAGGTTCAGTTTTCATCTCAGAACAGAATAAGGCCCCATTTAGTAAAATGTGCAAAAGCTTAATTTTATGCACATGAACAGTTCCTGCTGAGTTTACTCTTCCAGCAAAGCCAATTGATTTATCTGAGAAAACAAGCAAAGCTCTCTTCTCTAGGGAGAATGCAGCTGTCTGCACACTGTGTCAGCTACGGCCTTCTTTATAGGGGTGCAATTTATATTCATTGTTATGAGGAACTCTAACACCAGGCGTCATGGGATTATTCATCTGTGTTAAACTGAGAAGGTATATAAATGTTTGCAGGTTTGGGGTTTCGGTGAACTATAAATCCACTTAAGCCACTGGAGCTTCACTGTAAATCAGTGAAGACAGAGGGACCTGGAGCTTAGCTTGGATATGTACTGCTAAGCAAGGATGCTGGTCTGAAACTTATTTAAAATCAGGTAACACTGCAGGCTGAAGAAGCAGGCTTGAAAAATTCATTCCAAACCACAAGGTGCATTAGGAGTGATTTCCAAGTCTTCCTCATTCTGCTCCTGCCCATCCAAAGAGCAATGCAAACTGTACCCCCTCCCCAACAGTCAGCATAAAACACCATTCTATAAAACCAGGTTATCACAAAAATGCAGTCCACAGAAACTTCCTTGGCTATTAGCACCTCAAGCAGGTTGACTTGATTTCTCAGGAAATCCATCAACTTTATTAGGTCCTCCAGGAGAGTTAATTTCCTAAACACAGTTCCTGAACTCGCAAACATGACTGATAACCATCGGCATGATGGGGAGCCAATTTCAGGACCTTGCAACTTGGTTTGGTTCTGGAAGCAGGTCTTCTGAATCCTGAATTTTGAATGATGAAAAAGTGGCAATACAGAAAATCGTTCAATGGAGGAGCAGCATCATGAGCGTTGCAGAGAAGAAGTATTAGTAGAGGCCTGATGGTGGTTCTTCCTGAGAGACGAGGAAATCAAAGTACAAGGCCACAAGGAATACACATGGGCAGATTACATCCAAAATCCTCCGAGGGAGAAGCATGTGAATAGACGCAGACCTACATCTCCGTCTTTATCCCGCAGACCAGAAAGAAAATGCAAAGACCCTGACAAAGCTCTTGAAAGACACAAGGACTTGAATGAAGCACTCTGAACAAAATGCCTCTCTGTGCCTCTCATTTCCAAGAATACCTTTTACAGGACCTGAGCTCCAAATTCGCTTGGTTTACACTATATTTTGTGCATTTGGCTTCCACCTCCATTTATGCAAGCCCTTCCTATAGCAAAAATGGTGCTGCTTCTACACAGTGTCATGAAATTAAAGGCCAAACAGTAGCTAAAGGAGAAAAGTTCTAACTACCAGATCCAGACCTCCAGCAAAGTGAATTAACACAAAGCATTTTCAGCCATTCAGCAGTTTCTAACACTGCCCCTCCAGTACCTTAAAAGCTGCATTTGCATGTCACACCATGCCCTCAGAGCTTCATTAAGAAATTCCACATCAGCAGAACAAAAGATTTTTCTTCAAGTTAAAAAAAAAAAATATATATATATTCAGGCCAGATGAAAAAAGGTAAGTAAAAGTTTGCCTTTTAATAGGAACACACTGGTTTCATGTGGGACTCTGCCATTTGGAATACATCAGAAAGGGTTAGTGCTAAATATTCTTGGCACTAAACACTTCTTAAAAAATGACAGAAGAATAAAAATGGGAAATAGTTCCCCAGGATTAGCTCAATACTTTTCTTATGCAAGAAGTAGGAGCATTTAAATAGATCTGGATGGTCTTGACCTTGGGGCACACCAAGTGCAGGAGGAACAGCCAGCCCTTCCCCAAGCACCCATGGGTGCTCCAGCTCATCATGACACTGCTGAGACCACTACAGTTTGCTGAAAGCACTAACAATGGTGCTAATTAACATTAAAGACAGTGGTCAATTTTTGTCAAAGCACACGCCAGCTCTGGCAGTGGATTCAGGTTATTAATAATTTCATTGCCAATTTGGGCAAAATCTGAAAGTGTTCTCAAGGTAAAATACTCTTCATTGTAATATGAATTTTTGTCATCTATTTCCACAAAATTCAAGTTGAATATGACTCTCTAACATCTAATCCTTTCCATTATTCAGGGGTAACATCCAGTTGCACTAATTGATATGAAATCCTTAGAGTTTACATTAAATGGTTTATATTGTATGTTACAAAACGAAACATAGATCTGAGGCTACGTCTCAGGGTTTAAGTCATTTTATGCTACTCGCTTGTGTATTGCAGAAATTTCATAAAAAGGAAGGATTTATGCAATGTGATTATTCCAGAATTGAAGCAAGAGGAACGTGACTTTGGTTTCCAATACAGGTATCTTGTCCCAGCTGAATACAGCTCTTACTCTTCATTCACAATGTTGTAAATAAAATCAGAATTAAGCCCAACAGGTTTAGAAAAACACAGAAGTTTTGTAGAAAGCAAGGATAATAATGAGATTGAGTTTGTTGTGGGAGGCAGAATCTCCTTCCTCCAGCTTACAGGTTTGAACCCACATGCAGACCAACATTTCTTGCCTCTCAAAGGATTTCACTCAAAAAGCCTTTGGGGAAAAAAAGCAAACCAATATTTTACCAACTCTTTGGTCATCTGAAAGAAGTTACACTGGGTACCCGCTAGTTCTGGTGGGCACTTTCCCAGTGTCACCGGTACAGAGAGAGGCAGACAAAGAAAGCAGATGAAGGGAAGGGTGGAGAGGTTGCCGGAGATGCCCTCCCTGCCTCGAGCTAACACACTCCCTATGGCAAGGACCGTTCAGATGCCACCTGCACTCTGCCACGTGCTTACTAGAGCTATAGAGACATTTTGAAAATGAGGCAGTTTCAGGTATTAAATTAATAGACGACTACAGTGTGAAGCACTTGGGACTGCAATGCATTTTTTTCTTAACATCATAGAGTATATATTTAATATATTAATTAGCAAGGGTCTCATCTGCTGCTCATTTAAGTCAATGGGAGTGGTTCCTTCAGGTCCCGTGAGCTTTGAACTAAGCCCTGATTAATTATTAATGCATGGCACAAGATCTTCCGCAAAGAAGTTTAAAATTTACAGAAAGGCTTAGCCATCGTGTGAGAGATGGAGAGACAGGCTGCTCGCGCAGCCCAGCGCTGCTTTTCTGCCTGGTTATGGCTGCACTATACCAGCAATAATGGCAGACTGGATCCCGCTCCCTATACAGGAATATTTTTCACCTACGTTATTAAAAGCAAGAGTAATGGCAGAATATGTTGCAACAGCAAAATGTGCATTCACTGTGGCGTGGAAGAAAATAATGAAGTAGATAGATGTGGGGACTGTTAGGAATAGAGAGGTTTTACTGGGACATACTAAAGCTCCAGCCCAGTCTCCTGTCTGCGACATTTTTGGGGATTTAGTGCCCATGGAGAAGCGTAAGAACAAACTGTAAGAGAAGTCCTTTCTACCCTGCAACACCCCCGCGCCCGAGCACCAGCACATTAGCGAATACACAGTCAGAGTTTGCATTTTCAATCATGCCTGTGGAGCTGCCTCCTGTGCATTTGTCTAAACACTTTCACACCCTAGTTACACTTTCGGTCTCCACATTTCTCTGTGCAAATGAGGTTCATGATTCCTGTATGCACTGCAACATTCTTCTTTTGGTTTTAAAGCTACAGATGAGTTTCTGACTACCCTGGGAAGTATCAAAATAACTCAAGAACTGCAAATATAGCTCTTATGCAAGGATAAATGAATTCAGAACATTTCATAAACTGACTTCTTCAAGATTTTTACCACACCTGTTGAGGTGCAGACACTGTTCCTACACAGTACTTCAACTTTCAGCTATTTATTTTACAAGTATTTAGCTACTCCCATGACTAAACCACAGCATCACCCATACACACTGAGCTGCAACGCCCACAAATGGACGTTATTTCAGAACATTAGTATTTTCCTTTCAATGAACTGTTTGGGCAGAGGGAAAGAAAGATGAGCTGGAGATATAATTTTTCCTTTCTCCATCTATTCTTGCTTTAGCACCTTGGCAGAACAAGAGGAATGACACCTTCAGCCACCAGCCCAGCTTGCGCACAAAACTAAGGTGGTCCCTGCAATCCATGGGCTGTAACTGAAAGTGAAATACTTATCATTTACTTTTTAACTGTAAGGGACAACGGGTGCAAGGACAACTCTTCATACACATAAAAGCTGGAAAGATAAAGAAATACTTACGTAGATGTGGATTTACTGGAGCTGGAAGACAGAGCAAAAATAAAATTAGCACAAAGAAAAAAATTCTAATTCATCAGTATTCAGAATTTCCTAAATTTCCTGTTGTTCCCTCCCCCTCAAGATCTTGATCATGGCTCCTACACCGAGACAGCCAGCAAAACTCTAACTTCCTTTTTGAGCAAATTTTGTGGCTCCCTGGCAATCCAAAGGCAATGATTTCAGTGAGAAACAACAGCCTCTCCCATCCACGACGTCTATGCTCCGTCACTAATACCTGCAGCCTGGGGAAGAAGATGCTGTAATTAAGCATCAAACCTAGATTATTGGCACAGATATTGTAAGGATGGGGACAGCTGCAAAGCAAAACTCCAGGGTGATGCCTTTGTACAGGAATCCAACAAAAAACTACAGAAAGGATGAATTCATCAAAAGCAGAGGTTCTGCACTGGACCTTGCTCATCACTTAAAATTTCCTTTCAGCATTGTTCAAGAATACTTAACATAATGAATTACCCTTCTACTCAATGAATAATACTATTCTTCAGTTTAAGATGTCTGTGTACATACAAGTCTTTAAGAAACAGACAGCACTTGCATTCTTCTTAGAAATGCCAATTTTCCTTTTAAATAGCAGAAAACATACTCACAGCAAGTTTGTGAGAAGAGGTTTGAACTCATTGGACCAAGAGACACAACCAAGATAAAACATGAGAGTCTTCTGGCACATAAACTCTTTTCTAGGGAGGATATACTTTAAAGAAATTTAAGAAGATGACAAAGGAAGGTGAAATGTGTTGTCTGAAAAAGCTGCCAGCAGTGTCAGCACACTTGGTGCTTGCTGGAGAAGCCACATTCAGTGACCAGGACAGGGACCCAGCGGCACGGCTGGGTCCTGGATGCTGCTGTGCTGGGGCTGTGCTCTCAGAGGCAGACGAGCATCCGTGCAGCATCCCACCCCTCTGCATCCCACCTCTGCCCACTCCCCATCCCACGGCAGGAGCAGCCCGTGCTGACCCCTCACCTTGGGAGGCATCAAAAATAATTTTGCCAACGTTGCGGAGAAGTCTCGAGATAACTTTGCTGAAAAATAGTATTTCTGTCTGTTCTTTTATGGGTCTGTGCAATGCCCCGCATGACACGACAGGATTATTGGGTACTGGGAATCTTTGGGGAACCTGATAAAACTGGCACTCTTATTTTACAGACCCCTGGCAAAATTACAAAAACCTCTACATCCATAATTCTTTAATACTGAAGTTCATCTACTTAATACCTTAATAGGCTGAAACAGAATGATAGTCAAACAACTACAGATATTTTAACCATGGGAATGGCTACCCAGGTTTAGGTCCAGAGTTACCTATACAATGCTAAATGTGGGAAATGGGTTTTGAATGGGAAATTAGTCTGCAGTTCTGTGCTACCTGTTTGCAGAAGGGTAAATTTGAGGATGGGTGACTTACGAAACAGAGCCCTTCTGCTATAAGCCCTTATGCATGTGAGAAACAGAAGGATGCTAAACTCACAGCTGGAATTGCATGTTATTAACAGAAAGTTTGACTTAAAATTTTATCTCCAAATAACGGGTACATCTGGTAATGCCAGACTTCCGTACAAGCGTTGTTCCATGTTTTCTTGCTGCCCTTCCCATGCCATGTTTACAGACATGAGCACTTGCTTTGTGACCCCAGCCACGGATTCTGTGTAGATTAGATTCAATCTGAAGTTTTCAAAACAGCTCTAAATTAGCAACTCTGCCATTTTATCTTGCCTTCTCTGAAACAAATGAACAGTGATTTGCCCCAGTGCAATCTTCTTAAGAAACTTAGTCATTACATTATATTAGATATCCTCATAGCTTTTACCAACAAATTACCTTTCATTCTCCAAGAAACATTCATTTTGTGAAATCCTTGAGTGATTGAACTTGGAATTAGCTGAAATTGCTGGGAACTGCATTTACTGATGCTTGATTTGTAACTAAACGTACGGGCTTTTATGGAAACTATCATCAGCATGTAACCTTGAGTCATGCTATTCAGATTGTTCACAGCAGAGCAAAAAAGGCTTCTTGCCAAACTAGCTTCAGTTCACACTGATTGACAAAAGCAGAAAACAAATTGAAGCAGTTAGGCTGAACTTACCTAACATCATAAACTAGGAAAAAAAAAAAGACCACAACCAAACGAAAAGCCCAGAAATCTCACTATTCTAAGTAATACAGCACACTGTTGTAAGACAACTTGTAATGGCTCTAGCTCTCACCGCAGAAAGATGAGATTGCTGCATGCATGACACACAGGTAGTAAGTTAAATCAGCCATAAAGGGAAATTAATGGATGACTGAGGGAGTAAATTCCCAAGGATGACTTTGAAATGCCTGGAAAACCTGTGCACCTCAGAGGGTTATCACTGCTCTGCTCAGCTGACCCTGGCTCGTGCTGGGAGGAAGGTTTTGCTGGTGGAGAATCTCGGGAGGAGAACAAAGTGTCATGAAACGTTTGAGCTTGGTTAGAGCCAAGACGGATGATCCCTTAATCTTCCTGCTGTTCCCTAAGCAAGCAGAGAATAAAACCTGCTGGAATTTCAGTTTGTTGGATGATTTTACTTTTTGGTGATCTGTATTTGTGCAAGTCACAGCAGAAAAAATGTGGGCTGCATGTTTTTTCTTAATACTTGCCCTTCTATTAGGTGCAACTGCATTATACAAAGACAGTTAAATTTCCCACAGATCCTTCCCAACACAGACACTTGTTCAGCTTACAAGTGAGGTGGCCTTCAGAGACTGCAACATTATGTCCTTCCTTTAAAGAAATAGCTGCAAACCAGCTTTCTTAACCACGAAAAAACATAAAGCTAGAGGTAAGTAGAAGCATGCTAGATATTCAGCTGCTGTATTTTTTACCACTGGAAACTGGTTACTGTGGTAATTACAACCAGCACCTAAGAGCTTTAATGAAGATCAAGAGCCCATACCTCTGAGCACTCAGTTTGCACAGGAAAAGCAATCTTCACCGTAGATACTGCTACTCTACAAGGACAAGGCTTTCTTCCTCCCATAATAGCAATTATCCTAACTTACTATTTATAACACTGGATAATACTGGAAATATATGTCCGTGCAAACTTATAAATCCTATCATCTATGCCCTGTTTGGTGCCAATTTTATTTTTCTGGGGCTAGAAATAGAATAATAAGAATAATAGCAATAAATACTAACCACAATTATATACTTGTCTTCCATACAGAATCTGGGGAGTATCTAAACCTCATATGAAAACACGCAAGCTGGACTACAAAGCGACTGGCCACCATCGACTATCCGCTGCTGATTCTACGTACCAATAGTAGTGACATTGGGTTGTTGGCTGTTTTCATAGAAGGGAGCTAAACTTTCTTCTTTAATCACTGGTTAAATTTAAAAATATTTAAACATAAGTACACATCTAAAACAGCAAGTGCTGAAGTTTTAATTGGAGTAGTTGGAGGACTTTACAGCCAGTTCATATCAAATAGGCTGACATAGATTTCTGTAAAGTGATGGAGATAATATTTAAACTGTTACTATGAGACATATCTGCTGTTACTACGAGACATATCTGTTTTGTATTAGCCTACAAAACACTCATTAGTGCTACTGAAATTGCCCTGTTTGTATTTACTTGGCAGACTGTGTTCACTAGCAGAGTAACATATGTATCTACCAAAGAATTTCTCAAGTGATGTTTGGCTGTAATTATCAATGTCGCTCCTACTGTGATGATTGCTCTTTTCTCCTGTCCTTTTGGCGTGCAGAGGAGACAGTAATTCATGGCAGGTGAGGGATTTCCCTGTGAAATGCTTATGCCATGGGTAAATTTTTGATTCATGGGATTGGATACTGTGGAGTTTTTATTTGTATTTACAGCCCCCACTTGGGATGGCAGGGTGTACTGTAAAGAGCTCATTACTGAGGTTTTCCTGCTTTAATAGTCTCCTTTACTTTGGACATTCAGATGGCTACCAGCAGGCTAGCACATTGGAAGCTGTTATTTTTGTATATTAGCAGTTTCCATGTTAATCTCCAGTTGTGGGTTTTAATTTAAAAGGCGATGTACTCTGCATCACATACAAAGGAGTGTAATCCAATAAAAACGACTTCACAGGCAGGATTAATGTGGCTTAACTTTAGCGATCTCAAAGTTAGACACCTCATCTAAGAGTGTCATTGGAGTGCCTCTAAAGTCACTGGAGATATACGGGCATGTCCAGAGGGCGAGTCATTCCCTGGAAGAAATCTGGAGAAACTTCCTCCTCTCTAGTGAGGCAGCAAACGCAACCAATACACTAGAAATGTCATGTTGATCCTTACACACTTCGTAACTGCTCTGGAGAAATCAGTTCTGTGCAGTACCTACCCAAGATTGTCCTACTACAAAAGAAAAGCTTAAGCTGTCAAAGTAAAACCCAGGTAGTGCATGGCCTATCTATCCTCTATTTGCACAAAAATGAAACTCAACTGCAAAAGTTAATGCATTCCTTAAAGGCAAAAGACACTGCTACCATTTTTAGCAATTCTAACTACAATGTGTCTGATCCGCTTTTCACAGTGGCTGCATTTCTTTAAAATGGGGTGAAATCCTATCAGCCTGCTTAATGGTTAAAAAAATAAAGCAAAAGATGTTTGCAATGGGAATCCTCACCAGCAATACAAATACATTGGTCCATTTGAAACCTAAGAAAAACCACTCTTTTACTCTAAGGGTGATCGAGCACCAAACAGGTTGCCCAGAGACATCATGAAGTCTCCATCCTTGGACATATTCAAGATCTGAAAGGACATGGTCCTGGGTCCTGTTCCTCCAAAAAGTGTATTCCTAAAGTGGTGGGATGAGAAAGAAGGGCTGACACTGCTAGAGGCCAGGGTGCTTCTGGAGTACTGATCAAAACTGAACACACAGAGGCACACACACAAAATCCCCACTGAAAATAGGAAAATTCAAATGTTTTTCTTCTTGCCTGAGGTCTCACAATTAAAAAGATTGTAATGGGAGAAAAATGTAAAAAATTATCTTCGTTCGCCTTTTAAGAAACATTCGCATGATGTCTTTTATTTTCTGGGTATTGTTTATAATTATTTCTTCCGTTGATTCAGGCCTGCTGCTGTGCATTCTGCTAGCCCATTAACTGCTTTTCTAAGATTCCAGCATTTCAGATTATAGGTATCATATTTGCATTATAAGAATGTATGTGATATCATTATTTTACAGTTGAAGCTATAACATCCTTAAAATTAGCCTGGTAATAGTTTGCTGACATTATAGTCATTGGATGGATGCTGAGATAAAAATGCATATTTTAAGCACATAAAGCCTCAGCAGCTCTGGGATCCCTCTTCAAAGGGAAGTCACTTTAGGTTTATCTTACTGATTAGCATCTGGCTCATGATTTCTGAAGCTGTGAATTTGTCGGCACCAGGGTAATAGCACTGCGTATTGCTCCAAAAGCATCTCTCCATCTGGGACACAAGGCAGCGGCTTCCTCTCTCCTGGGCAGCTGGATTTTGCATTGGCACCTCATCAGCACGTTTGAGATGGAATGTTGTTCACATCTGCGCTAATGGCAGATTCTAGCAGAAAAAATTTCAGCAGACAAAATATGCCTTTTGTGCTGCATGGGAATGTTCTTCCTGCCAGCCAGGGGCTAGAAATGTAAATCACATAATGTTTCGTTAAAACCTCAAACTCAGCACGGTTGTGAGCCATAGCCGAGACCTCAATCAACCCCCTGAGACTTGCCAGAGTACAACCACCACCAAAATACAGCAGTAGTGACCGAGTGAGCTAAATGGTGGTTTTTTCTCCTTACAAGAGCACTGGTCAGTATTTAAGTCATGGGAGAAATTTCCAGGTCCACAGAAGAGGGCAGTGGCTGCCTGGCACGAGCTGGCTGTGAGGACGCAAGTCTCCCTGTCACAGCCAGCATGGAGAGATTGGGATTGATGCGGAGAAATCCCAAACGTCTGAAAGAAGCTTCTGCTCCTGATCACCTTCGGGAAGACTCTGTGTCTTTCCCTTGTGCACGTGAGGAGCCCCAAAGAGACCGGACTCCTACCGCTAGTGTCAGCGTATGGGCACTTATTAGGGTAAAGGGGTCCATCAAGGAGGCAAAGTCCAACAGGAATTTCTGCGGAATGGGCATCTTCTCCTCATTTGTATGTTCATAGATTTAGTAAACGAGTCCTCTCTTTAATTGACCTTTTGTTCTCATGAGCTTTGGGAAACATAGACTTTGCAAACACTTTTCTGTAACAGGTGAAACCTAAGATTCACCCATCACCATCGTTAGCAGATCTGGCATTTAGTGAAATGTGCCACTACATTCTTTAGAATTGATATTTGAGATTGCTTAATGTAATTTTTTCCCTTGATATTAAAACGGTGAGAAAAATAACTTATGATGAGATTGAGTAGGGCTGAGCTAATCATTGATCATAAAGAATTGCACATACGATGCACAAGCCATTTAATTTTTTTCAGATTTGTTCACTACTTTAAGTTATTTGACAATGATTTTTGAAAGTAATTCTTGATGTGTAGGTTGCTTTTGAGTCTTCTGCTGCATGTGATTTTCTGCTTTGGACTCTCTTAGGTATCTGTACAGCACTAATTACTGTTGGATCCAGCTCCTGGAGGAATTGGACCTACGTGGCTAGCTGTGACTTGACTGTGTGTCACATGGCTTTTGTCCTGCAAGATTAGCAAGGTTCCTCATGATAGAATCACGGAATCATAGAACAGTTTGGGTTGGAAGGGACCTTCAAAGGCCATCTAGTCCAACCCCCCTGCCATGGGCAGGGACACCTTCCGCTAGACCAGGTTGCCCAAAGCCCCGTCCAGCCTGGCCTTGGATATTTCCAGGGATGGGGCATCTACCACCTCTCTGGGCAACCTGTGCCAGGGCCTCACCACCCTCAGCGTAAAAAATTTCTTCCTTACATCTAGTCTGTATCTACCCTCTTTTAGTTTAAAACCATTACCCCTTGTCCTGTCTCTACAGGCCCTACTACAGAAGTCTGTCCCCAAATGATAAACTCATACTTTCATGATTCCATGTTTACAAATATCTCTCCCTGCCAACACTTCCCTTTTTCAATTATAAAAACTTTCCACACAGCACATCAGGTTCCCATTGCAAACTGCACAATGATATCTTTAGCAGAGCTACCTTCTCTCTAAGGTACCTCTTACTCATTCATTGCGATTTTTACAGGAGAAAAACAAAAACCGATTCAGTTATTCATTCAATAAATACCCTAAGAAGGGTATTTTGAGGGATTTTTCAGAGCTCTAGGAATTAATTCCTGGTAATGCTGGGAGACTGAACAGAAGGATGTATGGATACTGTATTTTTCTTGTTAGATTAAAGTGGACAAATCTTTTTCATGGCATGACCTTTTAGAGAAAAAGTACAAATGCCCTTTTCCACTTGCATAGGTCTAGAAACGGTCACTTTTTTTTTTTTTTAATCATTCACATTCAAATAAGAACTTCTCAAAAAGTGCTCATTCTGGGTGAAAAAAAAGTATTTTGATGATATCACAACTGATTTGACACCTTCAGAATACTACTTGTTTTGTCAATTTTTCTTCGAAACTCATTGCCCTTCAAAGCATTCAAAGTAAGAACAAACTCTTGAAATGAGCTATCTCATGAAGCTAACATTAATTTGTTCCATCTTTTTCCTTTATTTCACAAAAACTTTGATAAGTTTTTGAATTTTGGCTATTCAGAATTTGTTGTTGTTGTTGTCATTGTGAATCTTCCCAGAGGCGGAAACTTTTGTTTCTTCCCAGTTCTACCCAGAACCCTCCTTCCCGGATGCCCACACTCAGCCCTTGCAGCATTATTTGCAGGACTGGTAATCACTTCACAAAGCGCAACCCAGTGCAGCCATACCCTGTACAGCAGACCGAATTGTGCAGAACGCACCGCAACGCATTTGCTCGTACACGAAGGTCTTCTTACCACTATACTTGATGACCCGAATAGTTGAGTCCCCCTCCCCAAATCTGGTGATGGGCGTTAGACGGACTTCATATGCCTCTGGCTTGATCAGCTCAGTTAGGTTGTAGGTAATTAATTCTCCCTTTTGAATATTTCCATTCACTGTAATTTCCTGTTCCCACCAACGCTGTTGTCCAGCCTAAAATCAAAAGAAGAATGCAAATGTCAAAACTTTTGGGATAGATAGTCTTCACCTTTGAAATGAATGGGAGCACATGGCAGACCCGTGCAACCCCGGGTGCTTCCTTAAACCTTCAAACGACCCAGGAGGATTAGAGATACAGCAAGAACGCGAACCTCCCTGAAATAACCCACTACTGAGCGTTTCTGTGATGAGATGACAGATTGCAAACCCATTTTATCAAAGGGCCACCCCTGCCTGCCGTCCGTCTGTCCTCCTCTGCCCACGCAGGTCCTGCACCAAACCTCGGGCAGCCCAAAGGCTGCAGGCAGCCTGCAGCACTCCAAGTTTGCTGCATGCAGGAAAAGCACAGGGTTAATTCAGTTCGGGAGGATTGCTGGCACTCGCCGGACAGAGACTACAGCAAGGGCCAAGCACCCGGTTTGTGACGGTGTGTAAGCACCCAAGCATCCAAGCAGATGCTGCGGCATTTTTCAAAATCTCACTGAATTCTTCCATCTTTAGGAACCTAAATTTCTTCAGAAATCTGCCCCTATGTTTAAAACCTACTTGTCAAAATGTTAAATAACCTTTTTTTCCTTAAAAGAAATGTTATTCATTTCAGTTCATTTCATCAGCTTACCGAGGCTGAATTTACCAGCTCTCAAATGCTATGCCTTCAAACCTGACCAGGTAAATTGGCTCCTCACGTCTAGTAGCCCCATTCCCTCCAGGATTTTAAAATAATATTGGCCAACTGCAGTGGCGGACGTGTTTTCTGTAACCGTGCACACCGGCTGGGAGAGCCATGGCTCCATGAGCTGGGTGCTGCCTCCTCATTAGAGGCAATGAGGTTTCACAGCTGTCATGTGGGGCATCATTTGAAGCTAATAAGAGCACGCTGAAGAACTGAAATGCAGTTTGATTTCCAAGCACTTACCACTTTTGTTGATGAGTGAGAAAGAAATAGGCTAGCCATTAATGGCCTTAGTGCATAATTATCAGCAATTCTTGTAAACTCAAAGACGGATGGATTTCAGAGAACAATGAAAGTCAATATGAGCAAACAAGAGGCTGTTTTATAAAAAAAAAGCAAAGCATAGATTTTTGTGCTTTATAGACTGCACAGTGTTTTCAACATCAAAATCCATAGTTTCTTTTATTTATATGCCTTACCAAGAAATGAAAAGAAAAAAAAAATCTAATTAAGAAGGAGGCATCAGAAGCAGAGAGTGCCACATGGCCTCTAACATTACTTTAACTAGTTTATAGATAAGCAGAAATCATACACATTTTGGGCAGCAGAATGACTTGGTATTGCAATATTACTTGCAGATACTCTGCCTTATTACAGACACTATCTGCAGAAAACAAAGGAAAAATCATTAAATATTTACCATGCATCCCAAGACAACTCTACAGGTGCAGTGATGCTAAAATGAGATGTTCCAATAAGCTTACTACACCTGTCACGACGCTGAAGTTCTTACCTATTACATGTTCACCAATACAGAGTCTAGTAAGGACAGAAAACCTTTTATTCGAAAACTTTAATTTGCTGATGCAGTAAAAATGTACACTGAAATTGCTGAAATCTAGTACTAAATCTACAACGTTCATCGAAATAAACTACATTTGCAGCAATATTAACAGACTCCAAGCTTGAAATTCATAGCAGTGGGACAGAGATGTCAATACTTTTATCGTTAAAGTATGTTACACACGTACAGCTATATGCCCATTAAATAAAACTCAGACCACGAAGCAAAAAAACCAAGAGACATTCTTAAGAAAATTGGGGTGATGGAACAGCTCTAGACATCAGCTTCGCTTTGCTTCCACCAAAATCAGTGTGTGTTTTACTGCGCTTTGAGCCTTTGTGGGGCTTGAGTTAGACCAATGCCGAGTGCATCTGAGATGTTATTTCAGGGTTTCTCCTCTTGCACACGCTGGCTGAGCCATGCTATAGGCTCAGGTGGCTCTTCAGGGCTGGCCCTGCAGGCGTTAAGTCATGCACAGGAGAAATGCTAGGTAAAAAAATCTCAGATTAGGTTAGAAATGTAAAAACAAGCTACCGTAAGGAAAAACCACACCACCGCCTGCCCGATGTGCAGAGTTACGTCGGTTAATACAAATCCCGCACGTGCACAGGGTAGCGGTCTGCCTTTGAAGCACCAGAAAGCGTTCGGATGGACGTGTGGGTGTAGAGCGGGACGAGAGGTAAGTTCATTGCTGAGGAGCCTGGGGACACCGGCCTGAATCCAACCTACAGCGTCTGCCCTGAGCAGCATCCCATGGGCGTCCACCCCAATCGCATCACCTTTTCCCTGTCGCGAGCATTCAAATCACCCGCTTCATATGACACGATAGCAACGAAATGTCCACCACAACATTGTACACAGCCTGGACTGTGCTGCGTTCCTCTGAATGGTTTCCCTAAGCCACTCCACTACAAAGAGTTATTATTAAAAGTAATAAAGATACTGAAAGTATGTGCATTTATATTGTATCTTTAAAAGATCATCCCAGGGGAGCTCAGGAAAAATTTGAATTTGACAGATTCTGTTAGATGCCAACTCTTTCACAGCGCTTTGTACCTAAGTACTGAGACCAACACAACAGTTGACGAAACCCAAGGTACAGGTTGTTTAACAGAAATTCAGTCTGTTCTCCTTGTCTCTTCTTTTGATACCCATGAATAAAAACATGCCACGGATACCTGCTTCACGCAGGTTTTGCAGAGTGTTATTTTCGCATCCCACAGCTCGCAAAGCAACCGTCAGCACACATTAGGGCAACTGCTCCTCCCATCCTCTGCTCTGCCCACCGGCAGCCCTGCTTTTATGCCATGCACACCTCTCCTGCTCCCATCTCACGAAAACCTTCCAGGCATTGCTGAAATCCGAGCGCTCAGGAGAAAAAAGACGAATGCCGCGTATGGTCAACGCTGCGTGTGGAAAAGGACGTGAAGGTGCCAAAGACAAGGCTCCGCTTCTCACGCACACCAGGTAAAACAGCCACGGAATTCCGATCTGCCTTTAAATGCTCACAACAGAGGTGCGCAGATTATTTAAAACATTGCAAAAACAATCAGAAAGGGCACCGGGACCTTTCATGTACGTTGAATAATGCATAAGGCACTGTGCGCCTTCATGGGCTGTCAGGGAGCCCTCCCAGTAACGGATAAGCCTTGTCTCGTGTAGACCATTGTCCTTGAGAGCAAAGTGATGAGTCTGCTGCAGAGAAGATATTAAGGATAATTATGATAAGACTTAGACCATATTTTTTACAGCGGTGCACGGGGAATTTGCCTGTACGGATCTTCTCGCTGGACCCATGCGGACGGACGCTCGCCACCGCTAGCATGGTCAAACTGGAAAGTGCTTCCAGAGAAAAGCTGCTGCTCTCAGGGGAGGAACTGGAAACAAGCCTTTGTGAATATTTGCAAAATTTACCAAGTTATCTAGCTGGTCAAGTAAAATAACCTTCTATTTTATATGTGCAAGTATTTCTGGTTTTGTATTTCTTAAATGCAAATTTTAAATTTTCTAAACCCAACATGGCTATTTTAAAATGTCCTTCAAGTACATCTACAAATGCAAAAATGACCAAGGTAAATGAGAATTTTCTTCTCAAAGAGAAACTTTTTCATTCACACACCCCTGCTCCTATACTGAAAACCAACATTATTTAAAAAAAAATAAAATTCCTGAGAAACTCCATTCTACCCAATATTTCTGACTATACCAAACTGTGGTAGGAGCTGAATTCACCATATCTTTATAGACAGTGACAACAACAAGGCACCTAGTGCAGGTCCTGGCACAATTTCTCAAAAACTTTATAATGAAGACCGAGTGTTTTATCTGAAATACGTACAAGATTTTAAAATTAAAATGATAAGCAGAAATTTATAGAATTCACAAATGGGGAACAAATTTACATGCAACTAATACAGCCCACAAATGGAAACCTAAGGTCTCTATATTTTTTTTTATTTTGCCTCAACAGCTCCCCCAAAAATTTAAGTGATGCTAATATACTGGAACAGAAACTGCTCTGCAGAACTCACGAAGGCTGCTGGTCCTTCTAAAGGAAAACTCCCTGCTCTTACTTCCATTCTAATTATTGTTGCTTGTTCTTTGCAATGGATTCCAATTTTTATTTTATTTTTTTTTAAATCAAACTATCAACTTGAATACAAGAAATTTTCACAAGCAAGATTAAACCAATTGACCATACCCCAAAAGTGAGTGGTATAATACCAAACGTAATGTCATCATTTTGTCTGTACCTTTCACAAAAATTAAGAATCAGAGAAACAAAAGTCTGGAGAAAATTACCTAATTTTCAACATAAAGAAAATAACTATTTTTTTTTAAATAGACATCATTAGTGTTTTTTTAAGCCACATGTTTTACGCCATCATGTTGGTTACCAATTACATTTGTGAGTACTGTATTAACAAAACTGTGCTTCCACTTGTGTGAGCTAATACTGACTTTCTGGCAGTTGTTTTAAGTTAGCTAGCCTTTGCTTAGAGGTGCTTCTGATTCCTTACAGTGGTCTACTGTAAAAATATTCTCCATTACACCTCGTCTTTGGATAAGAAATTACTGAAACGGAGACTTCAGCAAATAATTTTAATAATTAATACTTCGCGTTTAACGTTTGCAATTACCAAAACTAGTCATGAATTTGTATCAAATTCAGTTGCTGCTTTAGATCATCACCCTTTTCTACAACAACCCAAACAAAAGCAATAAAGAAGCTCCATTATTTTACTCATTGTGAAAGCAAAACAATCTGATTTTTCATTTCAGTATTATGCATCCTAGGCCAGTACTGGATATTGGTATTTCTTCATAGGAAGCAACACACATCTTTTTGCCTTGCAATCAACACCAGCTCTGTTCTAATTCTATTTTTTACCATGGAAACAAGAAAAAAACCCAAACATCTCAAAATTGTTCACTAGGTTTGACACAAAACCTCCCCATGCCTGATTTTTCAGCTCT